AGAACATTAGCTAACGCACAAACTGGTGGTCTTGTACTAAATGCATACAAAAATTTTAATGTGTAACATTACACACTAAAAACTACATTCTGGGAAAGGAAAGGGAATCTTTTATTTCCTCCATTGGAATGGATTTTGCATATTTTTTTATATTTAGACTATTCAACATGTACATTTACACACTGCTTCGCACAATCGTGATGTGGCTTATTTGGTTCTCTCTCAATGTGTTGTCTGAAGCCAACCAATTCAATTAGTCAAGCAATGGCTTAGCACAATGTGTTAACTCAGCCTAGGACAGAAGTCTTGGGCTCAAGCACTACCCTTCTGACTAACTAGTTATGTAGATCTGGAGCGCTCACCATTTTGGATTTGTCCATAGGAATTAGACACCAAGGTTTGTTGTAGATTTCTATTCTGACATCTGCAGATCAAAAATGGTGAGCTTCTCTAGGTCTAGGTGAGAAGCTAAGCCTTGTGTTCACATGTAATAGCAGGTAAGTTGGTAGCACATACATTCATAGTATGTTCCCTGGTATCTGAGCATCTCTTGTGAACACAATTCAACACACACACACTTGCACTCTGCTAGTGTAAGAGAGAGTTCAAATAGGGGCAAGGAAGTTCTTGAGAGCGAGATAGCGCATGTATCTATCAGTGCAAGCTTCTGTTTTCTCTAGATACCCAGCAAGTGAGAACCGATAAGCCACTTCAGCAGCAAATCATACCATGTGATTGTGACATGGTGATCTTGAGAACTGAAGGTGGGGGGAAAAAGCAGCAGAAAACCATAGTCCATCCTTGAAATGTGGTTTTCTGTTTAGCCATTAGATTGATGTTACAGAAAAAGATAATGGCTTTTATCTGTGGGCTTTGTAACAGATGCCCCTAGACACATACAGATCAGGTGGAAAATTCCAGGGGGAAAATGGAAGTCCACCTGCAAGGGATTTATACACAGGGTAATCCAACATGTGTTGCCTTATGCACTGATAAGTGTAATTAAGGCTTTATTTAAGGCAAGGGTCTGTTTTGTTACTGTATGTAACCTTAACTTAGGGTGACATACTAGTCTCGCATATCACATTAAGGTTTGTTCATAAACCCCAACTGGCTGGGTTCAGACAACACTAGGGTTACCACAGCTGGCCTACAAAATCCAGGCCACCACTAGAAGACAGCAACAAGAGACAGAACACATATTTTTTGTGGCCAAACAAATGGTCATCTGGGTTCCTGCAACACCAGTCCAGGAGCTCCACACAACATGCTAAATTGTAAGCCATAGTTTAGAACAGTGATCTAAAAAGTCATATTCTACTTAGATTATCCCCTTTATGGTTTCTCTCTGAAAAGTCAGAAACAAAAGGAAATAGATGAAAGCAAGTCTAGGACATACCGTTTCAAGGTCCTGGAGAGTTGCTATAAGTACCTGCTTCAGGATCAAGGAGTGCAGCCCTACAACCAAAACAAAAATGGCTTACAATGTTTCTAAGTACCCGGCGCGGTTTTATTGCAATTCTGAGCTGCAAAAATTCAGCTGACCACCAGAGAGCATCAAAGAGTGAGTGTTTTCTGTATCTCTTTGTTGCCATCTAGTGATCGGTTGCTGCTCATATCTGGTACACCTCCTTTTATGGTCCTTTGAGGAAGGCTTCCAGTAACTGCACCTTCTCAATTCCTGCTTTGATATTTAAAATGTAGAACTCTCTTATCATCTCTGGCTTCTTTAAGGGGAAGATGTAGAGATTTGAGTCTGGGGATGTTCTTCAAAGTCTTTGTGTCTCATAATGATTCCAAAGTTCACTCTCTGAGTTAGAGTGCAATGGTGGCTGCCTGGGATTGATAGAGTGAATTGCAGAAACTCAGGTAGGGCCTCCTTGAGAGGAACAAGGGATGGGACTTGCATTGGAAGAAATGGTGGTAGGCATGGCCATATGATGGGCACCATCTCTACATGGCCAAAGGACAACAGGAGAAGGAAGTGGCTTTGTCCTACCCCATAGGACCTCCTCTTACACATGAATGGAAGGGGTTGTCCATTCCATGGGATAAAAATATAGTTTTGTGGTGAGGGGGTTGGCTTGTCTTAGTCTGTAGGGTAACAGGAACATTGACATCTTTATAGAAATCATTAATGAAAGGCAGCGTGACAGTGTTTAAGCAAAAAGAGAACGGTGCTTGTTGACTTTCACCAAGTATCCAGAAAGACACCCAGGTAAGAATAGCTCTAGAAATGTTTTAGAACTTTTTTTTTTAAATGAAAGAACCAGAGTTGGAGCAACACTCTGAAAACCACTTCTGAAATTCAGAACTGATTGCTGAAAGTACCTAATGTTGTAAACTTGCTTCCTTTTTGTTCTTTCAAAAGATTTTCAGATGAAAGCCATACATCACCAGATCTGCTATTTATCTTGCCTCTCCAGTTCTAAAATGGCACACTAATTGAAGAGGTGAACAAATACACTCAAACTGTGTTCAGACAGGAAACAAAGGACGTAGAGAAGTTCAAATGGCAGAGTGAGCAAATATGATTTGATGCAAATGACTGCTTTGTTATAGTTATCTTCCACTCGGACTCAGTGGGTAGCAGGCCAAGTGGAAGAATATTTACTCACAGGCAACTGAATGAATAGAAATAGTATGTTGGTTAAGTGCTAAGAAAAGCCTTGCCGTCAAAACCCTGGGAAAAACACCATGTGTCACAAATGGCTCAACCTCTCTGTGCAATAGGTATTTGTTGGTCTAAATCATCGCTGAACCAGCCCTCTCGTTTCTGATGCATTTGACGTATTTTCTGTCCATTTCAGAAATGGCTGTAATGCTGAACTGGGTTGTAATGCTGAACCTGGAGGACATAATTGGTTGGGCAGCTCGTGCATTGACTAGGTAAAGTGTATTAACCTCAAAAGCTGAACTCACAAATAATAAGCTACTCTTGAGTTACCAGATAGAGACATTCCAAAACCATACCTAATTTCTTGGCAGGCTGGTTAAACTTGTTCTGACTACCCCACCTTTTTGTTGAGATCATGGCTTTTTGTAATACTTATGCAGCTTAGCTTTATTTTAGTAGAAGGTTAGAAATGCAAAGGGAGGTTCTTTCACTCACAGAGACCCGCTATTTAAACTTAATGAGCTTTCCACACCTGCAGCAAGAAAAGGGTGTAGGCTTAGTTGCTATACCCAATTACATATCTGACTTTTTTACAACCCCGCTCCTTCAAGATACCAAAGGAGTATCTTTTGAACATCTTCTGACAAAGGAGAGGGAAAATGTGGCTGATTTTGCAGGGATTATTGCAGGGCTTCTCTCATACTGCAAGCAAAGCCATCAGGTTGCTCTTCCCATGGATTTTGTTCAGATCAGGAAGCCCAGGTAGCCAGGATGCTGCTGAGCGATGGAAAGATGAGTGGTAATACCATTAAAAAAATCTTAAATTGCAATGTACCCTGAGAATGATAGAAAAACAGACATTTTCACAGAAGACCACTTTCAGGAAATTAGATGGATTTTGGTCATCCTTGGGCAAGTATTTACCTTCATCAAGCTACTTAGCCAATGTTTCTGCTTTCTTGAAATACGCTAGTCAAATGTGAGATCCATCAAGCACTATAAATAGCTTATGAAACTTAAGACATTCATTTGCTTGTATTTGGAAAATTGTATTTTACTATGGTCAGACTATTATAATCATACATTCCCAGCTCAGGAGAGGGGGGATGTCTTTTGTTTCTGACATCTCTGGAAGGGATCTGCGATTATTTTTCTGTTGAGAAAGTTGATTCATCATGAGAGATGTTCAGCTTCCCATATCAGGTTTTACTATCTTAAATCAGCATCAAACAATGCACCTTGGTATCCAGCACTGTGGGACATCTGCCATCTTGAGCTTTTCCGGTAATGTAGCAAAGAAGTTTTGCTGAACTACAACTTCCAACAGCCATGGCCAGTGAGGAAGACTATGGTTTAGCAACATCTGGAAGATCACTCATGTTCTACATCTACTAAAGTTCCAATTCTCAACCATAGATAATGAGAACTCTTTATTCCCTACTGAACATTTTGATAAAGTACCATTTTCCTTTCAAAAGGTTCCCTTGTAAGGACTGGAAAACAGTATTTCAGCTATGCACTTCTGTTGTTACTTATAAGCTGGTCAAGTGTCTTCAGAAATGAAGTAGCATATAAGTAATAAATCAATTCTGGAAAATTCCTTTTCCATCAGTTGTAGTGATACCTGTTGCTCAATATAACTACTCCTTTTTCTGGGGCCACATCTCAAATTTTGGCCATTTCAACAGTTGTACCTGACATAGCATCAAGATGATCAAGTTTCAAAATCCTTCTTGTGAGCGATGCTTTTGATGGCAGCACCAAGTTAAGATGTTCTTATGATTTCATAGGCATATCTTTCATTTTGTGAATTCTTGTTATGGCTCTTGTTCACATATTAAGTGGAACCACTAAACTATTGTTAGAATCAACAGAATCTTCTTTATATATCCAAAGGTTTGGATTGACTAGGTTGTGGCAGACTGGAACATGGGTCTTTTCAATCCATTTCCAAGCTTTTCACATCTTCTCATCTCCATGCCAAATTCAGCCACTGATTTTCTACTTTAAATAGTGCTGATATGATAAAATAGCAAATTATAATGACTTATTGGAAGAATCATCTTAGATAATTAGAGTTGAAATCTCCAATGTAGACCCTATTGCTAGACAAATGTTAAAATTTGTGGCAGTGCATATTTCAGTTGAGCTCATGCACCTTCTGGCCAAGCCCAGGAACTCTCTAGATGTAATGACTGTTGAGACTGTTGTAATAATGATGCAAATGCATGTATTTCTCTACATGTTTCTATTGCGGTTCTTAAAAATTCAAGAGGCCAGCTAGCAACCTCACAAGTTCCTTTTATAACAATTCATGCTATAAAAGAAATCGCCCAGGTGATAACATTTTACAAAATAAGTGAATCAACCCTGCATCTGTGGAAAAGATATTTAATTGTAAATAGAAAAGGTAGGCCAAAGACAGTTTTAAGGGCAATTCTTTCGTATAGGTAATCTAGATGACTTATAAAGTTATACGTTTCATAAAAGCACTGAAAGATAAACACAGCAAAGCACAAATCAAATACAAGGTATACTTGGAAATAAAGGAGCTGCACAGTAGTCTGAACAAAGTGTAAAGCGTTGTAGCACTTGGTAATCTTTAAGGCAGTATGGTCTGTGAATGTCTGAAAGCCACAAATGTCCGAATGTTCTTGGCTCTGTGCAGGTCAACATTTGCAGCAAGGCAAGATAGACCCAACTGTATCAACTATGACTGACAAGTGAGGAAATAACATTTTTATACATATTCCCTTGGGTGACCTGAGTGCAAGTAGAAAGCTAGCACAAGGACCAGGTTGAGGGAAACCCATTTCTTTTCTCCTTGTATTCAAATCCCATCTACAGTTCTATCTACCTCTCATTCTTCTGCATTTGCAGAGCATGCCTGAGCTGTGAGGCCTTTAGTAGGTCACATAACCTTTGTTCTTGCCTTAAGTCCAGCGGGGGACTAAGTGCTTACTTACCTATTTTTTGAGGATATGCTAAAGTTTAGGGCCCTGATTCTAAAACACCCTTATTTCTTTTAATTGTGAACTTCTCATCTGTAAGAGCATTTAGGATTGCCCTCCTGTTCATTGGAATATTATCACAATACTTTACAGACCGAAATCAGCCTTTCACAATTTAATATATTTCAATCATGGTGGACTTTCAACTCCACATAATCCCCAGCAGGTATGACCACTGATCGTACTGGTTAGCAAATGCGGGCACTGAATACCAATAAACCTGGGTGGAATGGGAGGAGAGAGACACTAATTGGGAAAGACTGATTTAAAACACTGTACACTGGAAATGCTAAGAACTATGTCCCTGAAGACCACAGAAATCAAAACATAATCAGAGCTGTCAGAAATAACAGAAGGCAACAACCGAACTGTGCGCAAATTTGCCCCTAGAGGTCATTCATGATTAGGGCAATCTTAATTTTGGTTTCTTGTGCAGATAAAACAATGAAAATGTACATGCGTATTAGTTGTACTGTTAGATTGAGACGATGGGCACAAATACGAACAACGAACTTTTCCTCTGTAAGCTTCACTGGAAGAAGAAAGAGCAAAGATCACAGGAGTGGTGGAAGAGCAGGAACACAAGAGTACGCGAATTTCACTTATGGGGCTCCTACATAAACCGCATGCAAGGAGCTCAGACTTTTCTGTTACTCCTGTTCATTTTGCAGCTGGAGCAGGGAACATTGTGAAAGAGAGGATCCCAGCAATTGTGCCGAACTTTCTTATATTTTATACTACTGGTATACAACAGCCAAGATCCTGAAAAGGAGGACAGTGTGAGGAGTCACTTAAAAAGCTTGCTGCCTAATTTAACCTCTCCAATCTCAGCGTGATGCTGCCACCTTCACTCTTGAGGGATGTTCTCTTGGAGAGGTGCTGCGAGATGCCATTCCCAGACCCAGGTCTTCAAGTCACTTCCCTCCACCCCCTTTGACAATCTGTAGCATGCGATAAAACCTTTGTTGGGCATATGTTGTGAACTCTTTTAGGAGCACTGCTCATCTGTACTTGCTGTTGGTCAGTCAGATTAAAGGTACTGTGAGAGATGGACACTTGTGTGCCATTTACCTACAGATTTCTTGAAGGACAGCCTCCACCCGAATTCCAGATATCAGCCTATTACTCTTACAGCTTCTTGCATTTGCTTTTTTTTTTTTTTTTTTTTGGTGCTGTAACATAAATGTTAACATCCTGTCCAGCAGGTGGTAGCATAGTAGGGGAGAGGTTAAGCTCAGACAGCCTCCACCCGAATTCCAGATATCAGCCTATTACTCTTACAGCTTCTTGCATTTGCTTTTTTTTTTTTTTTAATTTTTTTTTTTTTTTTTTTTTTTGGTGCTGTAACATAAATGTTAACATCCTGTCCAGCAGGTGGTAGCATAGTAGGGGAGAGGTTAAGCTCAAGAGCTTCAGGGAGAAACTCTTGAAACTTGATCTCCATCTGCAGAATTATCCCAGCCCAGCTTGGTTAGTCACCTGGAAATATGATTGGCTGCGCTAACGGTAATATTTTCATATAATTAATATATTACATAAATACTGGTTTTTGTTTTCTTTTTCTTCTCCCAAGTTACATTCCTCTAAGAAATGCGACTCCCAATATAAAAGAAAACAATCGACCCACAGTTATTCACCGGCTTCTTCCCCCACCCCCTACCCCCTATGACCTAGAGGTTAAATATTTTTTTCTCATAATTTTCCATCCTCTTTCCTGAAAAATACTTATGTAAGATGTATATAGAAATTATAAAAAAACATGCAGCATATGTACAAACTGAAAATTTTTAAAAATATCAGCTTCATATACATGTCAATCTACTTGAATATATCAGGAATTAAATATAAAAAATTACACTTTTTTTCCTAAAAAAAGGGGGCATTGTTTGGAGGCCCTGGCCAACTCCTTTAAAGCTGTACAAAGGATAATAATCAGTAAATGAATTTAGTCAGAGATCTAATTTGTAGCTTTCAAGATTGGTTCTGTCACATAATTCATTTACACAGCGTGGTTTAAATCAACAGTTATCACCCTTAAAACTGTTCTGTATCTCAGCAGATTCATAGTAAAATCAAAAAAGTCACAAAAACATTGGCATTGCAGGTTTGTGGATCCCTTCCAAAAAGATTATACAACTAATTTTTGAACTAGTAAAAAAAAAAAAAACTATTTACAGTATTTCTTTTTTAAATATTTTTGCACAAAATGTCTAAATTCTGAGTTTTTTTTTATGATACAAGAAAATCACCAGAGCTCATGGCTTAAGTCCAGTAGCATCTTCTTTGACAAAGAATCTCAGTTCTACACCTATGTGTTAGGCAGACCCAGATTGTACTGCAGTTTTCTTAACCTGTTTAATAGAATGCTCACTTTGTCCATTCAAACAGCTTCTTTGTTAGTCTGGAGGCGGGTCATTGCCTCCAACTTCTGCCTATAAGCTTCTGCCTCTTGCTCTTTCTTCAGAAGTTGCTGGCGATACTTCTGCGCTTCTCGATTGGCCTCATCCAGCTGTTTTTGTAACGTCTCTCTTTCCTATTAAAATTAAAAACAAACAAAACAAGCATCTTGTTAATGTGTATCATCTAAAAGTGAATCATAGGTTTATAATTTTTTAAAAACTTTTTTTTGTCAACAGTTGAAGAAATAAGGTGGAATAACTTTGAAACAGAGCGAATTAGAAGTTCTTGGACCCATTACTTAGAAACAAAGTTTGAAACTTAACGTTCTCTACAAAAACAGAATGTTTGCTTTCAAAAACCATGTACTTCTTGTATAATGCCTCACTGAAACACATGATTTTGAGATGTCCTAAAATTGTTATGTTTTGGGAAGAAATAATTACATATATTATTTTGACTTTGAGATGTAGATTATATTCAGACAATTACAAAGAAATATGGTTATCCTTTATCGAAATTCTATTGTAAGATTTTCTGTGTATGAGAAACCCATGTTTTGCTTTTTTTTCCTGTGTTTTGTTTAATTAAATAAAGATGTGGGTGTATACATACACACACTAGCTGAATAGATTTTATGTCCAAGTATACAACTTCTTTACTATATCTTTCTTCTGATAAACAAACATACAAAGCAAGAAATCTTCCAGTAGGTATAGTCTCACTGCATCCAAGCTAGGAAAATAAGGTTAGCAGCTCCCAATCAAGCCAAAATAAAAAGCCATGATTGTTCTAAATTATTAACATTTTCTAGTGTGAACTGGGAAACTTGCGTTATTATCAAGGTTTATTTTTCTAGCTTCTCTCAAAATAGAAGCCAAGCAGTTATACTGAAGGACACAAAGATCATTCCAATTTCTGCCACTTATAAGGCTACCATGTCTCGGCTGCAAAAATCCAAACGATCACTACGTTGCAGTAATGAGTTTTCCACCTGGTGGTTGTCTGGATTTCTGCAACCCCTTAGCTTATTAAATGGGGCTAATTTCAGAAGGAAACATGCAGTTTCAGAATAGGCCAAATGAACAAGTGAAACGGTAGATTCTCTTCTAATTCTTGTATCTTGTTTGGTTCATTGCAGATTCCTCCCCATTTCAAGCAGGCAGTGAGTAGGTCAGTGCTAGCCAAGCCTATAGAATTAAAAACGCAACCTATCAATGAGAATACATCAGTCTAGCAACTGATTATAAGTAATCAGTTATACTTATGTATTACACATACTGGTAGTCCTCGCTTAATGACCATTTGCTTAGCAACTGTTCAAAGTTACAATGACACTAAAGTGACTTACGACTGGTGCCCGAAGTTACGACCGTTGTAGTGCCCCCATGGTCACATGATCGTTATCTGGGCGCTTGGCAACCAGCTCGCACACATGATGGTTGCCATGTCCCAGAGTCACATGATCGCCATTTGCAATTTTCCCAGCCAGCTTCTGGCAAGCAAAATCAATGGGAAACTGCTTGATTCACTTAACAACCGTGTGATTCACTTAGCAGCTGTGGGATTTGCTTAACAACCGCTGCAAGACAGGTTGTAAAATCAGGTCCTGTCATGTGATTTGTTTAACTGCATCACTTAGTGACCTAAATCCCGGTCCCAATTTTGGTCGTTAAGTGAGGACTACCTGTATTATATGATTAATATTAGCACTGGTAGTCTTCTTTTTGCACAGTTTAAAGAAACATGGCACCTACAACTAAATTGACAAAAACCATTAAGAACTGGAGAGAAAGGTAAATGTTAAACCAAGCCTAATAAGGAAAATTGAATGAAGTATATACATTCTGCTTCTTGGAGTAAGAGATATCAGTAAAACCTGAGAGAAAACAGGCCTACTGTTAGAATATATTACTGCTGTGGGACTATACATTATATTTTGAAAGGATGCTGCTGGAACCTTGTTGATTTTTTAAAAAAAATGCAAAACCATCAACGTGTCCTTATTTTTATCTGATGAAACAGAACAACTTTGTGGTTAAAAAAAGAAAAACAACTTGAGTTCAAAGTAGGAGTGATTTTTTCCCCTCTTCCAAAACATTTTAGAGTAAACAAAACTGATGCTAAAAGCAGCATACCTACTTTATTAAAATAATTACCTCAGAAATCACTTTGTTCTGACCTTTACACAGTAAAAGTTTTTAAACCTCCATGTTTTCACTAATCAATGAATGTCAGTCCTTCCATTGTAATCACTAGATAGTACTAAAATAAAAGGCAGTGTCTATTCTATTGCTTTACTGCAATAAAATGGGGAGGAAAAAACTCCCCCTTCCCTTTCTCTCTACTTTCTCTTAATGCACAATACTATCCATGTTCCAAGCCTGAGTTTAACAGGATTTCTGTCTAACTAAATATCTCATTACAGCCCTTGACAAGGCTTTTTTTCCCCAGCCCCCTAATTCCAAATTCCTCCATACCTATAGATTTTCAAATCATCCCAGCTGAACTGTGTACTAATACTACTATAGAACTTTAGGAACTGAGTAAGTCCTGCTGATACTATACTCTGATTCCTTCAAAATCATCCAATTTTCCAACAACTTACCATGGTCCAACAGAGTGCTACCAGTACTCACTGCTTAAATCCATCCAAGCCCACAATCTCTGACAGGTTTTGGCTTAAATCCTTATTTCCCATTGAAGCAAACCCTGCCTATCTATCTGTCTGTCTGCTGTCTGTCTATCTTAGTTCACAACCATTCCTTGCTTCTCCCCTTCTAAACATAAAAACTGCAAACCTTCAATGCAGGGATTTGCCCCCTTGCTGATCTTTCTCTGGCAAGTACTATGTACAATGTGGTAGATCATAACTCTCATACAGGAACATTAAAGTATACCTAAAACACTTGTAACAGTCTGCAGGAATGACCTTGGGAGACAGGAGGAAGAGTCACAGCCTAGACAACAGCCTGATAAAATTTGAGCCCAAAGAAGGGGTGAGGGTACAGAAAGCGTCTCAGAAGGGACCCTCCCAGGTTTTCAGTACTGCAAGTACTTTCATATTTGCAAGATTCTGTTACTGTAACCTTACAATAAAGGTAGTATTAATACTCATGGTGGGTGCTTCTTCTCTGGACTACTTCAAAGGGCTGACATCATCTGTGTCATCAAGGTCAGGAAGCAAGAAGGACAGGACTACTTCTAAGGTAGATGTCATCCCAATGACACTATAGTACTCCAGAGAAACAACCCACCCCCCCCATTTGGAGTCTAACAATACTTCACAGATACCTTGAAGGAAATATAAATGGATAACTATTTATTAAATATCCACCTAATTCTAAAGTTGCTGGGACCAGACTTTTTTAAAAATGTGAAAAATGCAGACTGATAATGTGCAAACTGAAAATTGTCTTTTTATTATGACAGTAACACATAGCCCATACATTAAAAAAGAGAGCTACAGCTTTTGTCTCAGAAGAATTTAGGTGTTTTATCTGAAACCACTTTTAAGAGGAGAAATAATGGAATAAAGATGCTACTTGAACTTAATTACTGAATGAGCATAATGTAGTCTTTCCAGACTATAAGTTACAAATCAGTACTCAGTGTGACATAGAAGTTTGAAAATACATTCACCTCACATTTCCATCATAGCTGTGGGATAGATTTAACCAAGATAAAAAGGGAAATAAAGTAGCCCATTTCACATAAATGTTAAGCAAGAAACCTGTTTATACAAAGGATCTGTTACACATTTTTACCAAACCATTATTAGTTCTTTTAAGTGTCACAGTTAATTAAATGAAGTAAAAATATTTTACTTCGTATTTAATGAAGCACATGAAGATAAGTTTATCCAAAACAAAATAGTTTTTCTTAACTTTTCTGTTCACACTAGCTGATAATTCTTACTGCAGAACTTTGAGATTATATTTTCATAAATTAAATGGCATAGGAGGAGCCATATTTCACTGGAAACACTTAAACCAAGTAACTTAAAAACAAATGTAAGATGCAGTAGTAAATTCCTTATTTTCTTCAAGTACAAAAAATACAATTATAAAGCAAGACAACAAGAAATATTCAGTTTAGAAAATCAGAATAAAACATCTCAGCTAACAGATTCCTTACTTCTATTTCTGCCGATTCCACCCGATTTTCAACTATCTCAATACATGGTCTCTTGATTGGAGGCTCTTCGCTGATTACTGTTTCCTCTGCAATGTCTGTGGCTGGTACTGTGAGAACTTGAATTGAAATAAGTTTGTATCAAAACTATAGAAGTTACAATGGTTGCATTTAGATGCTGGGATAGATTGGGATAGGTAATTACAGATGTTTATTAAATATATGAGTTGGAAGAAGCCTGTCATCTAACCTAACTCTCTTACTAAAGACAACTCCCAGGATCCTTCACCATTTTTAAGAGTTGCATTAATAACAAGGCTGCATTCTAATAAGTCAGTTCATTTAAACAGCCACAAAGGCTCATGCAGAAGCCTTTCAAAGATGTAGCTACTTTAATGAATAGCAGAGAGGGGCTTCAGGAAGTCCTGAAGCAATTCTTCAGAATAATTTTTAAGGTGTGCATAGCCCTTATAACTAGTTTTCTTAACTCATGATTCCATGGGCAGAAATGCAATTGTACAGTGTGGAGCTCTTTTCCCCTATTCCGGAAATTGAGTCTAAGATGTTCACTAATTGTCCTCCACAGTGCTTTACATTCCAGCCCAATCCTATTCTTCATTATCTGTTTTCTGTAAAGAGCTTTTATGAATATTAAGTTCAACTTAACCAACAATTTCAATATAAAGTCCTTAAAGTTCTATTACTGGTTTTCTACTTACCTTGCTGCCCATCTGGCATGGTCACTATAATGGGTTGACCCATTCCACTGGTGGGAATGGAATGAAGATTTCCAAGCTGAATCCCATCAGTTACTATGGTAATGACCTGCTGACCTCCAGAACTAACTACTTGCTGAATTGCACCATCCACAGATTCAGCGGTCACAACTTCTTCTGTTGCCACAACTTTCAAATAAATAAATAAAACATATATAAGCAATTAAGACTGATCAAAAAGCTTGCTTTTAAAAATTAGAGGTGGAACCTCATGAAAATGTGTCAGTATGGACTGCTCCTCTTCATTATTTCAATGGAGTTAGCTGAAATAGCTCTTCTAAGAGACTCCATTCCATTCTATTTTTCTCCCCCACCAGCAATATCACACACAAAGTCAGTCCATCTTCTGTACAACTGAGCATGCTCATCCCCACTGGGTTTTGGGAGGAATCTCTCCCCCCACTTTTTCTCTGCTAAATTATTTTGTACTTCTGCAAATCTTGAAGTTTACTGCTTTGCATAAGTAGCCCAAACAACAAGATTCACACCATCCTTATCTCAATCTTATGTGTGTTGCCTTTTTGACTACTTATACAACATTCCTCACCCCAAATATTGGAAATAGAGAAAATGGTGTACCTAGAATTTCCAGAAATTAAATTCCTTCAAATCTAACTACTTCCTTACAAGTAAAATACAAGTTGTTCAAATTCATAGAGCAATTGATATTATTTGACCTTCAGATACCATGTTAATGCTCATCATTAATTTTTTTCCTGGTCTCTGGGAATTTATATTCTACTTTGTTGAGTTCATCTTTGCTGCTTCTCTTAGGTTTTACCAGGAGGAATCCTAAAGTATAAAGTATATCATTACCAGTATCAGTTCAAGAGCTACATCTACATGTATGCAGTATTGTATTAAAAACAAGCCTTTGAAGTTTATTATTAATCAGATAGACAATAAAAAGCTTTCTCTCAAAAGCTATAGTGTATGATTTATGAAAGAAATGTCAGACATCAGATAAAACTTGGAAGCTTTCATCTTTGCCATGATTGCTTCTTTATTTACAGTGATGTTATTACTCAATCAAGGTCTGCAATTCTTGCTTTCTGTATATTTCTGCCATTATTGAAAGAATGATGTGAAACTCCCCAGGATTTTATGAAAAACCAAGTTGTGCCATAAGGTAGGTAGGTAGGTAGGTAGGTAGGTAGGTAGGTAGGTAGGTAGGTAGGTAGATAGATAGATAAATGTGCTTGCCATGGCTTGTTCCCAGTACCGCTGAGATGGCCTTCACAGTACTTCTTTTCATTAGCATGATCAACAAAATCAACTAGTCCCTTCCTGTCTGTTCTATCAAAATCTGGGTAGTAAATGATCTACAAGGAAGTATTCCCAGTAGCACCAATAATTACTAGAGGGAATTATGGGTTTGCAGGATCGTTTCATTAGCTCTGTCTGCCTTCTCCCTCCTTCAACTGTCACCTGGCAGCAGCTTCTGCGTCAGGGTGCAACAAAGGGACATATAGGAAACACAATAGGCTCTGCTGAAGGATCAGTTCCTTTGACTCCCTGGACAATTTCCATTCAAGCCAATCGTCCTATATATGCGCTTGTTTTTCTCATCCCTCAGCCTGCGGGCAGGGACTGTCCTCTATTTACTGACCTTATATAAGCCACTGAGAAGCAGGAGATACAAAAGCTTTCAATAAATTAAGGTCAGGAATAGGCTACAGGAGTTTGGACAAGTATTTTCAGGAGGAAAAGTCCTCCATGTGGCGCTGTTTTATTTAAACAGATGAAACAATCCTTCATAAACCCTGCAATCAACATGTCACAAAAACATGATTAAAGTTTTATTCTTTAACACAAGGAGGTCAATCTCAAATGAGAGAGAGGTATTTAAGACCTCCTTCTTTAAAAAAGTAATCTGGCACTAAATGTTTACTGTCAGTGCTTTGGCCTCCTCCCAAAGCTTCTAGAGAAATACGGTCAATTGTTGATATACTGTATTTCTTAGTAGCAGCTCTGGAGTCAAGCCAAGGCAGTTGGCATTCTTGCTCTGCATAGAAGCCTGATTCCCTTCTACAGATAGGTTACAGCAAAAGGCAACCCTGCCTGAGAAAGCAAATTCAGAAGTCACACCAGTGTCAACACTTATTTGTCTTAAAAGGAACTTGACTGGTAATCCACAAATGTCCTTCATGGAAAGGAAAAACGTTTTCATTTAATTTTGTTCTCTTTTGCTCTCTTCCATTTTAAGTCTGTTTTTCAGTATAAGTATGCCAAGGGGGAAAAAATACCAAGCTTAAAAAACTAATTTGCAATGAAATATGGCATTACCTCAATGCTGAAAACTGAACTGTAAACGAGATGTGATTTTTTTTTTTAATGTGAATCCATATTTGTATTTTTGGAACAATGTTAGTTTTCCTCACCTGGCGTTTCTGATGAGTTGGACAGTGGAGCTGAAGCTTCTGCTAAGGCAGCCAAAGTTGCCAGCACTGATGTTGAGGAATTACCAAACTGGACAGCAGACACTCCACTGTCATCTGTAAATACACAATCCATAAAATCACATCAGAAAGTCACAAAAATCTACTTGTACATTTGAAAGGAAATCAATTTTTTTCCTCCAAAATTAGGCTGATATAATTCTTAAACTCTTGATCAAACAGATCCCTTCAGAGGGAGCAAGCAGAGATTTATTTCTCTTCATGAGGCAAAAGTAGTCTGAACTGAAATAAATGGGAGTGGCGTCAGCAGAATTTGGCAACCCCCCCCCCAAAAAAACAAACGGGGAGACTGCTTTGACATCAAACTGTGGGCCCAAAACCAAATTTTAGACAATGTTAGAATCATCCAGTGCAGTGTGAGTCTATATGAAAAATGAGATTCAGGAGATGACAACAGCAGCAAAAGAAGTGATATACTTGATGCAATTTTAGCACAATCTTATTCCCAATTTAATAGAGCGAACAAGCAATTTACAATCCCCCGGGCATGTGAATATCTGCATTTAATGTTAATTGCAGAGAATACCTGTTAGATTCACAACACCACCAGGTCCAATGATGAACTGTGGCGTTGCTGCATGAATTGTCACTGTATCAGGGCTTTCTGGATTCGTGTTGATTTGGTTCTGCATTGCGATCTATGACCAAAAAATAAGAGTGCTTTTTTTAAAAACATTTATTTGGGGGGAAATGAATTATATTAAAAGGGATACAGTTCATGGAAGATGTTCAGAAATTAGACAGGTAGTTAATCTCAGACAGAATAGTAATCAACAGCTTCATGTAACCTTTAGCTCATGCACAGTGTATTGTTATTTATTAATATATATTCAACATGGAAAAAATCTGGCAGATACTATTCAGAATAAATACATCAGTTTCAAGGCGTAGGGAAAGAGGGAATATAGTATGATAAAGTAAGAATAACAGAGGGCCAGGGAGTCATTGATATAAAAGGCAACTGCCTAGAGATTAAGCTACAAGGTTCTGGAAAAGCCTTACAGGAGTGAGTTTTGAGTTACCTGTAGAATTTCTGCCAAGTCTTCATATCCATTGTCTATGGCAATGTCTAATGCTGTCTTGCAAAATTTACTTTGTGTATGGACATCTGCTCCATACTTTATTAAGAGTTCCACTACTTCTTGATGATTGTGCTCCGTGGCCCAATGCAGAGCAGTCATTTTCAGCATGTCCTTTGCATTTACATCAGCACCATGCTACAAAACAAATCCCCCATATTCAATTAAATTTCTTTCAAAATGGAAAGATGCAGTCAAAGTTAATTTTAGAGTCAGCGTTACTTTGAATATTTATTCTTAAATCTGTGTCCTACCTTTTAAACTTTGTTCATGCTGTCAGTTCCCCCCCCCCCGAGTTAATATACTGTACATGATTAATGCTATATCCCTTATTGCCTTGAACTGTTAGGCAGACACATTTTCAAAATAGCTAATCTTAGAAAGTAAATAGCAGAAGATAAAATCTGATGTCTAATGATTCTTGTGCCTCTCAGCATGGCTTCAGTTATTTTTTTCCCTTCAAAAATAAATCTCTTCATGTAAAAATATTATTGAAAAGAAGTCATGTGCTATTATTAGTCTGATAAAATAAAGGAAAATCTATAATTTGCATTCCAAGTAATTTTCTTAAAGGATTTTGGACTGCTGCTATAGTATTTTCAGACAGCAAAATAGAAAGGCCTTGAAACAAGAATATCGGTGGGCAGTTTCTTGAAAAATTGTTTTAGTTAAAAAGCACAGCTGTAAAACCATAATTTAAGGAAATTAAGCTATCCTTTCTTAAAATGCTTTGACAGATAATATTCTTTATGCTTGTTTTTTTTTCCTGTTATGGACAAATTATCTGAACACACTGCCAAATTTTAATGAACAAATTGTTGATCATTGCTTTTAAATGTAAAGATGTTTCAATATGCCATATATGACTTAAATCAGCATATTGTTCCTATGGTTTGATTCAGCCAGCCTGCCCACAAAGGGAAACCACTTTGCATGTGCACAAAATGGTGCCACTGATTCTCCTACTGCACAGCATCACATCCTTCATTTCTAGAGAAGGTCTGAAGGAGGGCCCAAAAAGACTCAATGTGCATTTAAAAAATGCTCCTTGGTGCCAGGCAATGTTCCGAAAAATTCCTTTAGATGCCACTGATAATGGAGGAAAAAGGCTTCAGTCCATTAGCAATGATGTCCTATTTCGACTCTGTTACAGTTAATAATAAATGAAGACCTTTTTTTACCTTCAGCAAAACTTCTACTATGCTCGCATGGCCTTCTGAAGCTGCCATATGAAGTGGTGTTCTATCCACTTTGGTCCTAGCATCTCGACTTACACCTGCTCGTAATAACACTTCCGTGGTTGAATAGTGCCCATATTGTGCTGCTAGATGAAGAGGAGATGTTCCCAGCTGCAACATAAGATATGAAATAGGACAGAATATTTGCACATAATTATCCTCTTACTTGACAACATTAAAAATATTACACTTTTCAGTACCATTATTTTTAAAAAAACAATCTTATGGAAATTCTGGTGTATTAGGCTGCTTTTATCTTTATTATTTTCCTAACTTTTGGCTTTGAAGTCACTAATCTTTCCTCTACATAATCCTCTAATCCTTTCCTATAATCTTTCCTTTCATCATAAGTTAGAAAGGAACTAACTCTTTCTCATAACCAAATTTTTGCCCAGTCTCAACATTCATGAATATCCTGATCTAAAGGAAAGTTATATTTTCTTTTAATTAAACACAGCGTTGCAGTCATCAGGCAAGCAGTACAATCATCAAGATTTGATGGCCAAAATCTCACAGCTGTGGTAGTGATCTTACATTCTAGCCTGGGAATTTTTCCATGCTCACCAAAGCCAGAAGCCAAAATTTTGAAAAAATCATTATGCATTGCTGCATCCTACATGTTGTCCTTTTTGGTCTTCCTTCTACTGGATTTGATTCCCCAAAACAGGAAATACAGGCAGAAAAAGTTGAATAGTTATGTCCAGTTATCCCCAAAAAGGCCGGACTCTGAAATCTCAGGCTGAAGCTGAGGTTTGAAGTTTGGGAGCAATATGCCAGGAGTTCCTATGTAATTCTAAGCTTTTTCTTAGCAAAAACTAAATAATGAGAGAAGTTGGACAATATGTTCCACAATTTTGTTCATGAACAGTAAATCTGGCTTCTTGTTATCACAGCCAATAACCAGTGACTTCCACACATACATGCCAATCTTTAAAAAAAAAATCAAATGAAAAGTGGAATGTCATCAATATTTCAACAATGAATAAATTTATTGGGCATCAACTTAGTTTGGATGAACAATTAATAAAAGCCAGAGGCACTTAAACTAACATTTGACATGACACTCTGGCTGTATTTTATATCTCCATGATCATGTTATGCGAACATAAAATCAGTTGCAGGGAGATGGTGTAGCCTGCTGGTATGAGCCTGATCTTTGAATGAAAGAGCCATGTACTTTGGCAAGCCTGTACCCGTTCTCATCTGCAATACAACAAATAATAAACTAATTTCGTTTATAGTTAGGTTGTAAAAATGATAACTGGATAATATGCATCTAGAGTTTTCAGAAAAATTCTGTATCAGAAAATTTTATATTAATATACTATAGAGGAGAGCCAGTTTGGCATAGTGGTTTAAAGGCAGCAGGTTAAAAACCAGGAAACCATAAGGTCTAGTCCTGCTTTAGGCATGAAACCAGCCAGATAACTTTGATCCGACACTCTCTCTCAGCCCTAGCAAGAAGGAAATAGCAAACCACTTCCAAAAAATGTTATCAAGAAAACTGCATAGACTTGTCCAAGCAGTCGTTAAAGAGTCAAACTATAAACACACATAAACCATAAAGACAAAGTAATAGCAATGGAAGGCAGAAATCAGAATCTGAATTTCATTTTTTAAATTAAAGCCTACAATGATAAACTTAAAACAAGTGGTCAGTTTCATGTAATCTAAGAAGTTCAGATTGATCTGGACCTGTTCATCTCACAATTCATATACTGTACCTCACACCTATTATTAAACATTCAAATGTAAACAATTTTCTCAAGAAAAAAATATGAAAATTCCCCTGAATCACACTTGCCTCCTAAGGACAACATGCACACATCCATTTGGTTTTCTTGATAGCAATATGGAAAGTCCCACAAAATAAACAGTGCAAACACAAATATGCAATTCCATTTTTTAAAATATGTTTTTACCCAATCTGTAGTAAAAGGTGCTCCATTGGCCATCAAAATGCGAACTTCATCATCTTGCCCTGCACGAGCAGCTTCTAAAAGCTTCTTTCCCAAATCTACCAGGGACATCTAGAAAAATATTTTAGATTAAAAATAATTAGGTTTGTTGAATGATAAGTTATGAAAGAAGCAAATATTACATCCTTCCCACAGCAACATTTATTAGGTTTCTGCAGCAGCTAAAAAAAAAAGAGGTACACTAGAACTTAACAATTACATTTTTTACATGAAACAAAGCATACTGTAGCCAAAGCTTGCCAGCAGTCTGAGACCAGGACAGCTACTATAAAACAAATAATTTGGTAATGTTTTCTCTAGTTTTGCTTGCTTTAAACCTATTCATGCAGACTCCCTGATTTTCAATATATTGACCTAACAATTTACTATGATGTCCAGTAAGATGCTGAGTTATTTTCCTATTCAATTAAAATTGTTTATTTCTCAGATTTTATAACCCAACTTCCTTCTAAAAGCTCAAGGAAGCCCACACACTCCTTCCTCCAATTTCTCAGCCCACCCGCAACCCTGTGTGAGAGAGTGACTGGCCTAAAGTCACTCAGTGAAGTTCCATGGTTGAGGGTGAGGTTGAACCTTGGTCCAGTCCTAGTTCAACACCTTTACCACTAGAGACAACTCAGAGAGGTATTTATATAACAACTCCTTCCCCAACAGACTGTGTCCTAACAGGGCAAAACAGTGATCAAATGGCCTTGATAGGAGGCAGGCAAGTAGATAGGAGTTTTGTGGTGCATCAGCTAGTGAAGACCAGCACCTTAATCACTACAAACCCTTCACTATTGGAATGCTTTGCAGAAAGGGAGAATGGTTGCTGACTATATTTGTTCAGTTTTAGAATGTCTATGTGTATAATACAGTTTAATTATTTTACTTAAATATATATGTAAGTGCCTTTGAATCAGCGTTGACTCCTGGTGACTGCTTGGACAAGTCCTTACAGTTTTCTTGAAAAGATTTCATTAGTAGTTTGCCATTGCCTGCTTCTTAGAGCTGAGAAAGAATGACTGTCCCAAGGTCACCCAGCTGGCTTTGTGCCTAAGGCAGGACTAGAATTCACAGTCTCCTGGTTTCTAGCCTGGTGCCTTAACCACCACACCAAACTGGCTCTCTATTTAATTATTTAACCTCTTGATTTTCAGAAATCTATCTTAAATGTTATACAAAGTTATATACATATAACCCTTCCTTATATGTGGTTATTACAAAACAGACTTAATCAGTTAGTTAAAAGTGTTTATTTGAATGGCTTTCTTTCTGTTCTTGTCATCCCCTGATCAGCTTAGATTTGTAGACAGGGCAAAATTTCTGCATGACTAATGGAATGTTGGCTTGCCATCTACCCATCCAGTGACTGACTTCCTGAGAGTAAAATGACTTAACCTGAGCTTTCCATGTGTAAAATTATAGCAACAACTACCATTTACAAAAAATAAATGGAGAACATGAAAAACTAGCTTACTCATTAGGATGCCAATGTAAAGCAAACATACTTAGGACTAAGCCCCACTGAACTCACCAAGTTCAGCATGGGGTTCAGCTGCATAAGTGCTGTGCAAGCAATTAATAGTACATAGTCAAAACTTTTGCATTCCCAAGTCTAAATGACTTAGACTGTACACTGAATACAAAAAACTGCCTTACTTCATTCATAACATGCTAGTAGATTCCACTAAACACCTACAACCACCTTAGCTCACTAGCAATACTCAAATCTCATTTTTTCTTTTCAGACAGATCCAAACTCTCAAAGCTACAGTGAAGCTTTGAATGATACTTTTAGTGGCATAAGCATTTAGAAACGCTGATTGTTCCTGCTCAGATTCACAGCTCTAGAATGCTCCTGAATACTGTGATTGTTGCAGTTAGTAGGAACACTTTCCACATATTCCTCTGCCTTCAAAGGCCTTCTGCTCTAGTTCAAATCCAGTGACCACTGTGTTTCATCCTGTAAATTCATGGCTAGATTATAAATCTGGAAATTTAGAATGGAGAAAAATATAACAATGGGGAATATTGCAGAAATGCTTCATTAACCAATATCTTTGCACAAGCACACTGATTAGATTGAATGGCATAGGCCATACACACATGAGGTTTCAGAATCTCTATATCCTCCCTGATCCTACTGCAATCACAGCTGCAAAAAAACTGTTTTGATACCTTGAAACACACTGCACTATTCCTAAAAACTGGTGAAAGATTATGGAATGCCATTCCTTTGCATATCCCCCTTAACAAGTCTCAAGAATGTAAGGTATTTTTGTTTGCACTGGTTTGTGATAACTCAAGTACTAATTGTAAAAACTTGTGGGTACCGGCATACTTATTTACACGTCGAAATTCTTAAATGTTTATTAGGGCTACTCAAATATTCTTCCCCCTCCCTCCAAAAGAGTGACAAACTCTAGAGAACAAGCAGAAAATAAAATATTTTACATACTTCAAAATCCACTTTGGCCCTAGTTCCTCTTCCTAAAGTGATTAATAGCTAATTTCTGATTTATTAAAATTAGGCTTTCTTGAAGGCTATCAAAAGTAACATTTGGGGGGGCCATCTAGTGGAGAATTACTTTGCCAAATTATGTTACAGCAATGCAGTATTAACACCATAGCAACCAACTGTAAAGATTTTTTCCCCGTGATAATTGCCTGATTTAGAATGTATTTATATATCTTTTGCTTATTTATTAACTTGTTTTATTTTGTAGGCTTTTCAGGTGTTTGAGAGAATCTGGCAAGAACATGAATGGAAATGGAGCCTTCAACTAGTATTCCCCAACAAATAGCAAAAACACCTGCGTACCATGCTAGCTGGCCCTCATCAGAGCCTTATCTACTAGGGGACCGGAAAGCACTATAAAGTTCATAGAAATTGATGAATTTTGTATTTTCTGTTCTGTATGTGGCCAAATATTAAAATATTCTTAAATACCGTATTTTCCTGACATGGAGTTACATTGGATCCTAAACACACATACAAGGAAATAATCCCCAGATTAGATTGGGAATTCTTTCAAAATAAACCTAATAGAAGAATAGATGTAGTCAATATGAGTGGCTTAAATGCCACCTCAGCCAGACATTTTTAAGCTTTTAGGTAATGGCTACGTAGATGTAGTCCTCATGTAGCAATCAGCAACTTGGTTGTTAAGCAAAGTGGTCACTAAGCGAAACTGTGACTGTGCTTATGATCTTACTTCAGCTTTCCTTTGCTTTATACCTGCAAAGGTTATAAATGCAAGGATTGGACATGAAGTCACTTTTTCATCACCGTCGAACTGCAAACAATCACTGTATGAGGCAGTCGCTAAACGAGGACTACCTGCATTTCAATATCTTGTAAGATGACACTTACTGCTTGAATTCATGGGAACCATTCATTCCTGATACTGAGCTTGGCACATGTCAGAAATCAGTTTAGAGTAGATGCACTATTTAGTTTGTGTCACAATATAAAACTAAAGAGTGGATTTTAAATTTAACTTAATAACTTTAAGAACTGCAGGTACTAAGCCAACAATGAACTACTTACTATCCAGATCTTAAGTTCACAAGCTCTACTTTCCTCCTTGAGGGCCATAAGAAAGAGTTTTGGTCTTTTATTTAACCCAAATTGGATGTTTCTTCAAAATCAAAATTCATAATCAACTATTATTCGAAATTAACTTAATAATTGGCTGTAGACCTCACACAAATTCACTAGTGTTCATGAATTATGGCTTGCTCAAAAATCCATAGTTTTAAAAGAAAGTGTTATGTGGGAAAAAAGTCAATATTGACTATGGATTTGTCAACATAATTTTTAGATCTAATTACTATTTGTTTCTTTGAAACATCAACTGATGTTATATTCTTCTTCTGACATGCTGGAGAAAGTGGGGAGCGATGCAACTCCAAAGCTCACCTAGTGCAGAAATATATAAAATGTAGGACTGGGTTTATTGCTATATCTTGGATATTTGAATACATGTGCAAGGATTTCTTCCTCTTAAACAATTTCAGAAATGCAGCGAATCTTCCCACCCCCACCACTATATTATGTTATTAATATAACATTATGTAATACCCTCAGCTTTTTGTCTGGAGGCGCTCAAAATTAAATGCTAAAAAGGACTGATTTTTACGTGAAAGAACTATGTACTTCATTATATTTTAAATGTCTATCTTTTGCCCTAAGTCCTCTTGTTGGATCTTAGAGTTCTAGTAAAATGCAAAGTACTGTAGATTCTGGAAGGATACCCTCCACTGATGTCTGCATGTCCCCATGACACCTTGGGTGTTCTGGCAGACTTCACATGCTAAGCCAATTCATTTCTGAAGTCAATTGGCTCAGCTCCTGTTTCAGAAACAAAAAAGCTGCAATTCTGCAGCATTTCCTCTGGAGCTGCAGGGCAGGAAGTTTTCCTTTGGTTGGAACTCACCCCTTCTCCTGTCTCCCATGGTTTCCCTGCACCTCTTGAAATGAAGTGGTGCCTTGCTGCTACCCTTCCTGTTTTCTGGCTACTATAAGAAGTGGTTTTGCATATAGCATCCCATTAGCAAATGCAGAAAAGGAAGAACAAGGAAAGAGCAGGATGCCAGCTAACTGCAATCTTAAAAACATCTTTCTATTCTGGAGGGAGTACTGGCCAGGTCAGGGAAGGGAAACCAAGGACACTTGCCAACCGCAGCACAGGGGCATACTTAGTGGGGGTGGAGGAAGGGGGGAGAATGACACTTTAGTATGACATTCATACACACTCTATATGGATGGACATAAATATGTCAAAATTGGTAACCTGATGGAAAAAAATTCTCATCAAACAGAATATTTTCAAATTTTACTCTTAGTAATATCAACATATTTATACAGTATCATTAATCAATGCAGAGCTGTTTGCTTGTTTACTTGTTAATGCTACTGGTTTTAACATAATTTAACTGCATTCATATTGAGTTTACTTTGAATAAACATGTGCTGAATTTCAGTGTTTCAACAGTCTCTTTAAAGTGAATACAGGAGATCATCTTTGAGTGAATTATATGAATTAGGAAAAAAAGTCTGAAGAAAGGTAATTATACATACACATCTTCATAGAAACAATTCAAAAAACCAACCTCTCTACACAAAAATAAAAATGCCGCTTAAATTCAATTAGCCGATGGTTGAAAAATCAGCTTCAAATTTTTATCAGAGGAATAGCTTTGTTAAAACAGTGAGGCTACAGAGAATGTCTTAACATTGCTGTTCAAAACACTTATCAAAGATCTGAGCAGTATATCCAAACCAAAATAAGCCAATTCAATGGAATAATAATAAACTAAAATGGGAATTGCACTATTTTAAACCCTATCACATACAAATTTAGGGACCCCAGACTGAAAGAGTGAACATTATGAAACAGAGGGCTTCTGTTCTGAATACATGATAGAAAGGGGACTGACATTCTATTTCAAAAGCACGCCACAAGGGTGCATTTACCATTAAGTATTATTACGGTTCCAAAGAAGATAGGTCAGACTTTCTGCCCACTTAAATTACCTTCACTGACTGTGTTCACTCACCATGGTAAACTAAAGGCAGTGCGCTTAGTTGAGCACCATAGGTGAACCCAGCCTCTGGGATCCATAAACCACAGCTCAACCAACCAGGGCTTAATTCAATATGTGAATCCCCTTTTGGGAAGAAGAGAGTGATCTCTTAATTACAGCGGAGAGATCATGGATGGAAATCCATGAGCTAAAGAGACGCGTGACAGAGGGGGGAAAAAGGGTTGTACTTATGGAGTCATGGCACCCAAGCACATGTCTGGTGGGAAGCAGTTCCATGGGTTTCCTGGAATGGGAGGAGCATGAAGAAAACTCCAAAGAGGCCAGAGGCTCCCCTCACTGCAGCTCGCACCAGCCGCGCCTGGAAGCACTTTCCATTCCCCCCCCCCCCGTTTCCTCCCAAAGAATGAACAGGGAGCAGGCACGGTCAAGGTGTCTTCAAGCTGCTGCCAATCCCACAGCAGGGGACCCGCTTCCTTGCAGAGGGTGGGCTATTCCTGGCAAAGTGAGCAGCCCCACCCCAGCCACGGTGGTGGATCCCCCGCCTTCCCTGCGCTCTTCCCCGTCCCCTTCCTTGTACCCCTCCCCGCGGCCTAAACCCCCTGACTTAAACCCCCAACTTGTTTTTGTTTTTTTTTGTTATACAAGAAAGAGCTTCCACACGTGAGCGCACGGCCAAGTGGCTGCTACGGGAGGCGATCAACGCCGTAACCGGAGGGAGGAAAAAGGGTGTCCGGTACCAGGGTGCCCGGGAGCGCAGGGTTGGCGAGCTTGCGGCGGGCAGCGCATGCTCCAGGAGGGGGAGGGGACAGACACGACCCGCGTCGGAGGCAACGTGTGAACGCCTGGAGACCAGGGCGGGGGGCGCCCGGCTCCCGCGCCCACCCCCTCCCACCCCCCCCCCCCCCC